AAGTCAGACAGAGTGATAGACATCAGACAGAGTGACAGAAGTCAGAAAGAGTGATATTAGTCAGAAAGAGTGACAGAAGTCAGAAAGAGTGATATTAGTCAGACAGAGTGACAGAAGTCAGAAAGAGTGACAGAAGTCAGACAGAGTGATATAAGTCAGAAAGAGTGACAGAAGTCAGAAAGACTGACAGAAGTCAGACAGAGTGATAGACATCAGAAAGAGTGACAGAAGTCAGAAAGTGTGACAGAAGTCAGAAAGTGTGACAGAAGTCAGAAAGAGTGACAGAAGTCAGAAAGAGTGATATTAGTCAGACAGAGTGACAGAAGTCAGAAAGAGTGACAGAAGTCAGACAGAGTGACAGAAGTCAGACAGAGTGACAGAAGTCAGACAGAGTGATAGAAGTCAGATAGAGTGATAGAAGTCAGAAAGAGTGACAGATGTCAGACAGAGTGACAGAAGTCAGACAGAGTGACAGAAGTCAGACAGAGTGATAGAAGTCAGACAGAGTGACAGAAGTCAGAAAGAGTGACAGAAGTCAGAAAGAGTGACAGAAGTCAGAAAGAGTGACAGAAGTCAGAAAGAGTGACAGATGTCAGACAGAGTGACAGAAGTCAGAAAGAGTGACAGAAGTCAGAAAGAGTGACAGAAGTCAGAAAGAGTGACAGAAGTCAGAAAGAGTGACAGAAGTCAGACAGAGTGACAGAAGTCAGACAGAGTGACAGAAGTCAGACAGAGTGACAGAAGTCAGACAGAGTGATATAAGTCCGTCTCCAAGCAACAGCAGCTACAAAACAACCACCAGAAAAAGAAGCTTGATTTGTCACTAGTTGTTTTAACAAAGAAAATGCTGCTAAAAGGATTAAGAAAGTCTCTCCGGTTCAACTCAGAACAGAATGAAACTAAAAACTGCTCCCATGAATGTTTACACCAAGAGATCTCTGATTCGCTCATTTTGCTGTCTATCAAAAAGGGATTCAGCCTCAGACAGATCATCCAATCATCATGCAGAAGCTGAGCGTCTGATAGGCGGGACACAGCCAGTATTTATCCAATGACTCGTCTCATTTCGCTGCAGTCTTTGCTTCACTAATGAGCTCTGTGGAAGCTCAGCGTCTGACTGTTTAAAGCTGTGAAGCTGCAGGAAKGAGGGAGAGGAAAGTCATGTCGCTGCCAGTGATAAGAAGCTGATTCTGAACAAAAGTTGAGTGTGTTGTAGTGCATATTCAGTCAATGACATGTACTCACAACAGTATATATTTGATCACTTATATTTTTGACATTTTAGGGGAAACTGAGCTTCCCTTGCAGTCTTAGAGCAATCACCTCTGTTTGAGTAGAAGGTGGTAAAAGACAGTTCTAATCTAAATCCTTATGAGTGGTCAGTCAAGACTCCACTAAGTGCCAATCAGATGTCAGTAATAGGTTTTGACTGGTAGTTAGAGGTGTCTTAGCCCCAACCTTCWGTTTTTATGGTTACACAACTTGCTTTTGTCTCAAGCAACCCAGAAGATACTAATTCCAGGAGGATCAAAGTTCAATCAGCTGTCCAAGATCATTTACATCAACTTTCAGGGTAAGACTGCTGAACAGTAGCCGAGTTTTTCCCTGTACTTGTCTCAGTACRTTGTACTCCATCCCACCACCTCAGTACACATTCCCTACTGCCCAACAGACTCATCCTATCCCCTAAAGAAATAACAGACCCCTCCCACTAATTGTGCAGCTGTGGTGGAGTGGTTAGGATAGTTGTCCTGGAACTGGAAGGTTGCTGGTTCAATGCCCCATTCCAGATATCTCAGTTGTTGTGTTCTTGGGCAAGACACTTCCCCTGTCTTGCCTACTGATGGTGGTCAGAGGGTCCGGTGGYSCCGRTGCATGGCAGCCCCACCTCTGTCAGTGTGCCCCAGGGAAGCTGTRGCTACAATGTAGCTTACCATCATCAGTGTGTGAATGAATGAGTGTGAATGGGTGAATGTGTAAGTGTAAAGTGCTTTTGGGTCCGGAGGAACTTGATAAAGAGCCACAGTGCCTTGTGAAAGTATTCAACCCCTTTAACTTTTCAACCTTTGGCCACATTTCAGGCTTCAAACATAAATATATAAAATTGTATTTTTTTGTGAAGAAACAACAAGTGTGACAGTTATTAAGTGGGAAAAAATTTATTGGATATTTTAAACTTTAACAAAAAAAAACTGAAAAATTGAGTTTGCAAAAGGATTCAGCCCCCTTGTGTTCACCACCTTTTTGCTGTGATTGGCTGCAGGTCTCYGTCAGCTCTGCACATGGACAGACTGACCTTCTTCCTCTTCCTCATAAAACAGCTGGAGCTCAGCCAGTGTTTGTGAACAGCAGGTTTTAGTTCTTTCCACAGATTCTGGATTGGATTCAGATCTGGACTTTGACTTGGCCAGTCTAATACCTGGATATGTTTATTTGTGAACCATTCCATTGTAGATTCTGCTTCATGTTTTGGATCATTGTCTTGTTAGAAGATAAATCTCTGTTCCAGTCTCAGGTCTTTTGCAGACTCCAACAGGTTTTCTTCCAGAATGATCCTGGATTTGACTCCATCCATCTTCCCTGTTTCTGTTGAAGAAAAGCAACGACTTTCTACATCTTACCTTTTTAAAAAGTGTAGTGAGTAGAAAGTACAGATAATTCTGTAAAAATGTAATGAGTAAAAGTAAAAAGTACGCTGAAAAATAATTACTCAAGTAAAGTACAGATAATCAAAATTTCAACTTAAGTACAGTAACAAAGTATTTGTTACTTTACAATTCTGTTCATTTCTAATGAATAATATTTATTTACAAAAACATTGATGTCAGCACATTTACTTTGAATGAAGAGTGACACAGAAGAAACAAAGCAAAGGGCTGAGGAACACAGCACGATGAAGCGACAGGGGAGTGAGCCARGACACAGGATATTAAAGAGGCGTTAATGAGGAGAAACTCCAGGAAAGATCTTCCCAGGGCAAGGCACGTACACAAATACACACACTGGGAAGTAATGGAAGGACACAGGGAACAGACACAGGAGGAAAAACTCAACAACAACACAGGTCTCAGTATACACTGGGTGAAAATGTAAAAATACCTACGTTTGGATGGATGGATTTTAGAAGAAGAAAATGTAAAAGTATGAAAAATTTGCAAATACTTGGGTTTGGTTTTGTTTAGACAGACTGGGTTGAACAGTTTGTGTTTTCAGTTATCCAACTGAACYAGTTACTGAGTAAAAAGAATACATCATGTAAAAAAGTCAGTTCCATCAGTACACATCACACCTGGACTGGATTATTCAACACTTTGTGAGGTTTCAGCAGGTACAGACCCAGGGCACAGGCAAATTCAAAGGTGCAACAAAAAGGGTTTATTAAAGTAACAAAAAGAGGGCTGAAGGCAGCAAAAGCTTACAGACAAGTACTTCTCAGGAGGAACGGACAGAACACCACACAGGCTGAGGGGAAACAGCACAATGAACCGACACAAGACTGAGACAGGACTTAAATACACTGAAAACTAATGAATGAACAGAAAACACCTGGTGAGAAACACGAGGGTGACAATCAGGCTAATGTGGGGCAGCTGGGCTGAGACACACAGGGGAACATAGAAACACTAGAAAAACCAAGGTGAAAAAGACAAACCATGACACACTTAGAGCAGAATATTTAAAACCAACTCAGAGATTTGTGAAACTTCAATAAAAACTGATTTTAGTATATTTTATGCATGTGGACCACACTGGACCTGTTGTTCCCTCATCCTGACCACACCTCCTAACTCATCCTCACATTTGGCCACGCCCCTCAGTGTTTCTTGTCTGCATGCTTGTTTCTAAAGCTGCTTTGTCATTGTCCAGTTTTACCATGGCTTGCTTCAAATGTTCAATTCTATATGGCCAAAACTTCCATCCAAGACAAACACAACAAATAAGTAAAAGGAAGTCACAAATCAATCCCCATCCTCTGCCAAAATTTCCAAAAATTGAGTTGAGGCCACCTTCCCTCCAATTTTTGGAGCATGAGGGCATGGCAGAACTCACTGGTTGGAGCTTCGGGGTAATACTTCAAGTGAATTTTGTTTTTTAACTGTGTCTGTTTCTGTCAGACTGCGAGTGTAACGGTCACTCCAACCGCTGCAGCTACATTGACTACATCAACATGGTCACATGTGTGAGCTGCAAACACAACACAAGAGGCCAGAAATGCCAGTACTGCCGTCTGGGTTACTATAAAAACGCCTCGCTGCCTCTGGATCATGAGAACATCTGTGTGGGTCAGTACCATCACTGTCAAAACACCAAGCTGCAGACACATCAGATACATGTGGAGAGTCATGTTAATGAAACAGACACTGCACTGCATGATTATAATGACTGATGATCAGTTTGAATCAGGTATTTATAATAATAAGAACCAATAATAATCTGGTGTAATGACTGTGTTTCAGAATGTCAATGTGACCCAGACGGCAGCACCTCTCCTCACTGCTCAGATTCTGGTCTGTGTCCCTGTAAAACTGGAGCCACAGGGAGGCGCTGTAATTCCTGCCTTCCTGGATACACCTGGGGAGGAGGCGGAGCTGGGTGCACAGGTAAGCACAGGCCTATTGTGTCAGCAACATTACACTAACGATAAACAAATGGGGGCGCTCTGGAAGCACAGACCAAGATGGTAGCATAAAGTGGTTGCTCCATGAAGCCTGCATGAAAAACCCAGAATAACCCAGAAAAATAAACTTCTGCTGGATTTTTCTGACTTTCTGTGATGGAAAGGAGGTCAGAAAATGATGATGGATGGATGGATGGATGGATGGATGGATGGATGGATGGATGGATGGATGGATGGATGGATGGATGGAT